TAGTCATTTACTAACTAACTTGCTTATTTACTTACTAACCAAATAAAATATAACGAATTTCTTTACTTACTCATCACAAAACAACTAAAATACTAACGAAAGCCATCGTTTTTTTACAATCCTTTCTCCTCCATATTTATTTATTTAATTCGTTATTTATTCTTATATATAAAGCGACAATAATATTGGTGATGAAGGTGCAAAAGATTTAGGCACAGGAATAGCCTAGTGCAAGAATATCACAACTTTAACTCTTGATTTATAGTAAAATTAAATTTATTGATTGATAAACTAATAATTGAGAATTGATTATTTTAAGCTTTTGACTTAGTTATTAGCTAATTAAACCAGCTTGTCATTTACTAACTAACTTGCTTATTTACTTACTAACCAAATAAAATATAACGAATTTATTTACTTACTCATCACAACACAACTAAAATACTAACGAAAGCAATCGTTTTTTTACAATCCTTTCTCCTCCATATTTATTTATTTAATTCGTTATTTATTCTTATATATAAAGCGAGAATAATATTGGTGCATAGGGTGCAAAAGATTTAGGCACAGGAATAGCCTAGTGCAAGAATATCACAACTTTAACTCTTAAATTATAGTAAAATTAAATTTATTGATTGATAAACTAATAATTGAGAATTGATTATTTTGAGATTTTGACTTAGTTATTAGCTAATTAAGCCAGCTTGTCATTTACTAACTAACTTGCTTATTTACTTACTAACCAAATAAAATATAACGAATTTCTTTACTTACTCATCACAACACAACTAAAATACTAACAAAAGCCATCGTTTTTTTACCATCCTTTCTCCTCCATATTTATTTATTTATTTCGTTATTTATTTTTATATTTAAAGAAAGAATAATATTGGTGCAAAGGGTGCAAAAGATTTAGGCACAGGAATAGCCTAGTGCAAGAATATCACAACTTTAACTCTTGTTTTATTGTAAAATTAAATTTATTGATTGATAAACTAATAATTGAGAATTGATTATTTTAAGCTTTTGATTTAGTTATTAGCTA